TGTTAGAGACTTTCTATGACTTATCTGATAGAAATTCATAGCATTTATTAAAGAATACGCCACTAAAATGCTGATTGGTGACTGTATATATGGGTGGGTCATATAAATGGTCAGGCTTCAATGCAGGGTGATCGGGTAGGAAATAAACCAGGCCACTTTATTTTAATCCTTAGGTTTCTTACTCCTGTGTTAGTCAGTGTCTCTAGATAGGAATACTAAACTTTCCTGCTAAGAAAACGGAGGTGTGGAGTTCCCACATTCCGTATGCAGATTTTTCTTTATTACAGCCTTAGCTGTGATTGGTGTTGAAGAATATAGAGCCTCAACCTGGGGACTGTGGTGGTTCTGTACGATAAACACAAGACTGCAAGCCACAAAGACATGTGTTTGAGTCCACCAGCTGCTCTGTGGGAGAAAGATGAGGCTTTCTGTTCCCGGTAAAGATTTACAGCCTTGGAAATACTGTAGGAGTCAGAATCAACTCAATGGCTTAACAACAAGAAGCTTGGCAGGAGATGGGACTTTTAAATACTCATACTAACGGGGACCCAAGCCTCCCTTTTAAAAACGCAGGCTGACATTTTTAGTGTGCATGCACACCCTAAGCTTCTCCAGGCATGAATCTTAGGGTTGGTTCATGCTTCGTTTCCCACTACAGACTTAAATTTCAGCATTCTCTTGCCTGCTAATTCCTTTAGGTATTTATCTGTTTTCTATTATCTCCTTTCTCATTCTTTTTAACTTTATATGTATGATTATTGTCATTATTTTACTGCCATATGATACTCTTTATTATATCAAAGTAGTGTACAGGTTCCATGACATCCATCTATAAGGTACTGCCAATGTTATAGAGAAGTGTCCAGAAGCAATGTTAAGTCAGAGTCCCCTTCTGTTTTGATTCTACCTTGGTTATGTGTAAAGTGGCCTGTAGCAGAAAAATATTTAAAGTAACAACACAGTGCCGAAAAAGGTTTCACTTTTTTTCCATTGTTTTACTACTGCCTTGCTCGAATGAATTATGCCCACTTGAGACAAAGATTATACTTTTAGTCAAGCACACCAGTTAGGAAACTCAGTGTAGTTGTAACCTGGTCACAAAACCATCTGGTATATTCCCGATGGCCGTTATTACATTTTATAGACTTACATACTTCAAATACTCTTAACAGTCCTATATGACCTTGAAGAAAATGTTGAAACATTTTTAAATTCCCTTTGTTTCTTACTTTAGATGTATTTCTTACAAGAAGGAATGCCTCAGAGTCCAGTAACCTTCTGCATCTACCAAAATTAAGAGTTTTATCAAGTGATATAAAATATTTGTTTGATTTTTTTAAAAAAGAATATGTTCTTTGCTAACAAGCTGCTGTAGGCTTATATTGTTTTCCTGAAAATGACAGCTGAGTTTAAGCTTGAGACACAAGCTTCAAACAACTCTTTTATGCCTGGGGGAAGGGTTTAGCAGAGGTAGAAGTCAGTCGATTTATTTTTAAAGAAAATATTAAAAGCATAGTATCAGATGTCAATATTCCAAACACATGCCTTTATTAAATGCTAGAAAAGCATATTTTGAAGCTACAGAAGCTCTTTGGACAACATAGGGCACTGGAGAAAGCACTAAGTTTGGTATTTTTCATTAAACTGACAAACATTTATTGAGCATGTGGAATTGTAGGATAAGCACTGGAGTGCTAACCACAGGGTCAGCAGTTCAAATCCACCAGCAGTTCCTTAGAAACCCTATGCAGGGTCACCAGGAGTCAGAACTGACTCAACCACACCTACCAACACTAACATATCCCAAGCACTGTTGATTGCCAAGAATGGAAAAAATTACTGAAAACACATGTTTTTAACAAAAAAGCAAAGCAGAAAATAATTTGGTCTTGTAAAGGCTAAAGAAAGGTGAGAAATGTCATTGTAGACATTAGGCTGTAGGGAAAAAAAAGTAGGTCTTGATGGTGTGGAATTAGTGGGGTCAAAATGGGTCATTTAGAAGCTGTGTGACCCTAGACAAGTATGAAACAAAATATGAAGTATCAACATGCCTTACTATTGGAAATGATATCAATGGAAGATTAAAAAATGAAACATAAGAAAACGGTTTCTAAATAACAAGGTAGTTTGCTTTAGCTTTAAATGGTTATTTAATGAATTTTAAAGCATTGCTTAATGAAAGAAAAAAACTGTTTTGCTTTATTGCACTTTCCAGATATTCATTTTGTCCAACAGTGTTATGCTCACTTTGTGTGTTTCTGTCACATTTGGTAGTTCTACATGCATCAGACTACAAAATCGTTTGAACTGCAAGGGCGATGGTTCAAGCTCACCAGCTGCTCCTTGGAAACCCTATACAGAGTTGCTATGGGTCAGAATCGACTTGACGGCGCTTTTAACCAATATTTCACACTTTTTAATAATGGTGTTTCACACTTGGTAGACTACCCACCCCACTGCTGTTGAATCAATTCTGACTCATAGTGACCCCATCAGACAAAGTAGAATTGTACTACAGACATTATAGATGGCAGCCCAATGCTTAACCAACTGTGCCACCAGGGGTCTCTTTAATAGACTGCAGTATAGTATATTTACATGCACACACAAAAAAACTGTGTGTGGCTCACTGTATTGTGATATCCGCTTTACTGTGGTGATTTGTAACCAAACCCACAATATCTCTGAGGCATGCCTAGATATCAAACTCTATTGTCAAACTCGCCTGGAGACTCTTTTTCATTTTAATATTTTAGTCAATAAATACACAGGTCAGTCATCTGGGAGAGACAATAGAAGCAGATGAAGTTCTTGAACAATTTGCAATGAAACAATCCCAAGTAACAATGAGACTGCTAGGCAGAAAAGTAGCAGATCAGCAGATTAATCCGAGAACTAAATTGCTCAGTGTGAAGACAAACGGGAATGTGAATAGGTGATGTGTTTTGAGACTTAATTCAGTCACTGCAGTCATGTCACTGGGCATAATGCAAACCTGAATTCACACTGGATTTGGTCTGCTCTGCTTCTGTGCAAATTGGCTAATTTGTGTGTAATATGATACTTGAGAAAAACTGAGAAAAATCTCAACTCCAAATTTGGTTAGGTTAAGATTATGGTTAGCTCTGGGGTTCTTCTGGCTGAAATGGAAATAAGTCGAATGGTCATATTTTTATAATTCCTTCTTCATCCATGTTCTTTTATTTGCATTATGTGAATGCTTCATAAATTCATTGGGAAGAATTATTGTAGTGTTAAGTTATATTAAATAAGATGGATGCTGATGCCCTACAATAAATGATTGAATAGATTAAACACAAATCTTAATGGAACAAATACTTAGAAGATGAAGTGTATTTTAGTGGGTGCTAAGGAGCTCTGGTAGCGTAGTGGTTACGAATCAGGCTGCGAACCGCAAGGTCAGCTGCTCTGTGGGAGAAAGCTGAGGCGTTCTGCTCCTGTAAAGATTTACAGCCTCAGAAACCCTATACAGGGTCGCTATGAGTCGGAACCGACTCCATGGCATGCAGCAGCAGCAAGGAGTCCTGGTGTGGCGCTGTGGGCTAATGAGTTAGACTGCAAAGTCATCTGAACTGCAAGATCAGTGTTTTCAAGCTCACCAGCTACTCCTTGGAAACCCTATACAGGGTTGCTAAGGGTCAGAATTGACTCAATTGAATTTAACAACAAATCTTTAGTGCCATGAGTATGACTCGTTTTAATCCTTCTTTAATGATTTGATGCCTTTGAATTGTGGTATTGGCAAAAGAATATTTGTACATCATGCATGGATGACCAGAAGTAACAAACAAGTCTGTTTTGTAAGAAATAGAGACGGAATGTTCCTTCAGAAGCAAGGATGCCAAGACTCTGTCTCATATGCTTTGGTTCTGTTATCAAGAGGGAGCTGGTGTTGTTAAGCGCTGGTGAGCTTGAACCGCCGACCTTGCAGTTCACACAGCTTTGCAGTCTGGTGCATTAACCCACAGCGCCACACCGGGACTCCGATCAGGAGGGAGAGGACAATGGGCTAAAACAGCATCAACTGTGAACAGAACCGGGCAGTACTTTGTTCTGTTGCACACAGGATCACTTCGACTCAGAAGTGACTTGATGACATCTAACAACAATACAGCAAAATGTTTTTCTACCCATTTCTATCTTTTAAAAAAGTAACTATTTAAGGTTTATTTTACCTGTCAGCAATGATCATTATTGTTGTTGTGATGGAAAATTTGAATTGCTGAACTTGTGGTTCTAAGTGACCTTGAGATCTAGTGTTTTATCCCACAGCGCCACAACAGAAGTCTGATGTTATATTAATTTTAATGTTACTTCTAAGGTTTAGATAACCGTGTACTTTCTATATTTCCTATGCCTTCTGTATTTAGCTTACTGTATGACAATTTATATTTCCATGTCATCTGCCTTCACACAGAAGCAGAGTAGAAATTTATGTAACTGCAAAATCTCACTGGATAGTATAACAGAGTTGGTGCTTGTATTTTGTAAACGAAAGTTAATAGCTATAAGGATTCCACTTACCTTTAGTGACTAAAAGAACATTTTGCAAACAGAATACTTGCTCATACTGACTGGTATATCATTTTTGTTCCCTGACAGTCCCTTCCATTCACCCTTTTACCTACTAAGTCATCAGCTGAGGCCTGATAATCATGACAAAATGTTTATGGATTGGTGGTTAGCTTCCTTCATTAAATGTTTACTGAGCACCTTTGTGTGCCGTTTGTTGTTTGACCCATCATAAACCTTTCAGCTTTAGAAAATTCTGTTTCCTCTTGATTCTGATTTGTGACGGCTATTATTGGAGATGTACCAATTTTTAGGGATACAGCACAATTTTACCAAATTCATCACAAGGAGCAGAGTAGCAAAACTAACTGTGTAAATAATATTCATCACAGATAATATTACAATGATACTATATTAAGTTTCACTACACTTACCTCCCTAGGGCCTGATTTAAGGCTCTGTATGCTTGAATTTCATACCACTGACGACCAGGTAAAAGACCTCTCGATTTTGAATGCTGGTCATTATATTGACGCTTTAGCTCAACCTAATAATTAAAAAAAAATATGAAAAACTATTAGTCTTAAAGACCATATTAACTTCTAATGTTCTGAATACCACATTATTAAGGTAGATAGATAACTGCTATTACCTTGACTCTGACTCATTAAGTACAACAGAACGTGGCTTCGTCCTACATCAGCCTCATAATTGTCGGCATATTCGAGTCCAAAACAAGTAAATCACAGCATACTGTTGTGATCCATACGGTTTTTACTGTTTAATTTTTTGAAGCAGATAGCCACACCTTTCTTCCTAGTGTGTCTTAGTCTGAAAGCTCTACTATGACCTGTCCACCTTGGGTGACCTTGCTGGTAAACATACAAGTTGTCACAGAATGGCAAACTGACAGGTTAAGTGGTTGTTTATTAGGATGATGTTGTTGTATGCTGTCAATTTGCTCCCGACTCATAGAGAGATATTTTATGTGGCTTTCTAGTACTGATTTTTTTTTTCAATGAATTTAAAAACATTTTTTGTTGTTTTTATATTATCTCATGTATGTAACTAATTAGCTCAGTGGTAATTTCAATAAACTTTACTGGGATCTAACTTATTCAATTTCCCAAATTTTCCTGGTACAAGTAGATGGGGTTTGGACAAATATACAGTTATGTCCACAAGACCAGTAACAATATAGAACATATTCATCACCCCCAGAAAGCTCCTCACTGTCCCTGCAATCAATTCCATTCCCCCATCACGGGCCTGGGAAACCACTGATCTGCTTTCCATCACTAGTTGTGCTTTTTCCAGAATTTCGTATTAATGTGTAAAAATTGAGTCCAACCATTTCCCACAGTACTCTCTATTCAGCTGGATCCAGCAAGTCATTGTAATGGCCACAAAGAACTTAGACATCATATACTGGGGTTTAATAGGGAAGTTAACAGGTTATGATTCAGGGTCAAAAAAGTCCAGAGCACAATTCTTTGGTCAGAGCAGGTAGCCCTTTCTCAAGCCTCTGGGCCTGCTCTCCTCAGGCAACGTTACAAAGTTCTTTCAGGGCTGCTGATCATTATCCAAAGGACACTCCTCAGCCCAAAGGCAGTCAACTCTAGCTCGGTGGGTTGGCAAACCTAGGTCCCCAGTTAAATGCCTAGAGGCATCTCACTCTACAAATTAGCCTCCGGACTAAAGGCATCAGCTTTACTTGCTCCGGGGGCCACTGTTCTGCCTTATGCTCTGGCTCTTGCGGCTGTTGTTACTGTTCCATCTTTCTGTCCTTGGCACAAGGAGATTCAGTATGTAGGGATCTTGGGATCCAAAGGACACACTCCACTTCTGCCTCTTCTTCCTTGATGGTAATGAGATCACCATCCCCACTCCGTCTTGTTACTCAGATGGCTTATTTTATATCCATGTTAGAGTTCCAAGTTTTATAATCCATCAGCATTTCCTTCCACCTTCTCTTACCCAAACCCATCAGGGAAAAGTCAATTAGTGGGAATTTACAAAAACTATAGCTAGAAGAGACATAAAAGAAATTACTACACTAGAAAATGTTATCATACAGTATGTAATATCTTGTCTACCTTCTTCCATTTACTACATTGCTTTTTCAAATTCACCCATGTTATAACCTGTATCAGTAGTAAATGGTTTATCCAGACTGATAATCTGTCATTTAATATAATTAGGATGCTGACTGGGTTTTAATTCTTACTATTTTTTTTGTTTGTCCTAGCTACTGTGCTTGCTTTCCTAATCAAGATTTTTAAACATTTTCTATTAGTTGATTAGTTAGTTATATGTCTTTGTTTTATCTTTTCAAGATTGTCTTAGTCTATTTTCAAATATACTTCAAATACAATTCGGTTACTGCACAGATAGTATAGACCCTACAAAACTTAGATTCCCTCTCCTTTTCTTCATGTTTTGTTATACTTCAGTCCTACGTATGATATAAAGTCATATGACAGTAAAGGTTCTGTCAACTTGACTGGGCCAGGTGTCTCAGTGGTTTAGTGGTTAGGATGTAGTAATTCCTCATGAGATCTGCTCAAAGCAGTCAATCAATTAAAAGGAAGTTTTCTCGAGGGTTGGCCTACGTCCAATGTATTGGGGATACTTAAGCAGAGGTTACTTGCTTTTTGCTGGATCTGAATTCTTCATCTGACCTCTGAGTTGTCAGCATCTTGGCTGCTTGCTGTCTGACTTCCTGGTCTTGGTTCATGAGTTCTACAGCTATATGTTTCAGAAGCTTCCAGCCTAGTATATCTGACCAACAGAGTTGGGATTTTTCCCACCTCTTTAACTGTGTGAACCAGTTAGTTCCTTGTTACAATTCTCTCTCTCTCTCTCTCTCTCTATCTATCTATCGATAGAGAGAGAGAGAGAGAGAGAATGTTAACGTTTACAGAACTATGGGACATGAATCAAAACTAAAAAATTAATATTGGTACATTACTACCAACTACAATTTGTATTTAAACAGGGGAAATATATATATATATTACACACACACATCATATATATATATATGTATATACATACATAGCACTGGTGTGACACTGTGGACTAATGCACTGGACTGCAAGGTGGTGTTTGAAATTCACCAGCTCCTCCTCAGAAAC